AGAGCAAAAATGAAATTTTTTATAAAATAAATAAATTTGTTAATTGAATAAATTGATTTTTAATGTTTCACACTTTTATAGTGAAAAGAAAAGATGCGCTAACAGTCGAACTCTAAAAATTCGCTATAGAAAAGCATAACAAATTGCTGGAATGAATCAGTAATTATAAAAGAATTAAAAACTAAATCCATTTATATCAATTTACCACAAATATATCTATACAGACAAAGACTTTCTCTTCATTTCTTCTACGCAAACAATTATTGGTCAAATATTGAATAATTGAAATAGAAAAAGTGGTTAGCAACTTCGGTGACATTTGCTGAGAAGCAATGATTAGCGATGAATGAGATGAAATAATTGTCATCTTTGCCAGCATCTATCACTGGCACTGATTAGTATTTATTTGGTTTAGGGAAGCATGAAAAAAAACAGAGCTGTATGATCGTAATTGGAATAGAAGGTCGAATCTGTTGAATAGAATTTATAAACACGTAATGACAAATGATAGTACAGATAACCAGATGTCACTCAAGGAAAATGACCGTTAGACTAATTTCTCAAGCTTTTTGTGCATGCAACTTCAGTAAATAAAAACTAATCAGAAGTTGCTATCATGGCATGGTTCAATAGCAATCTTCACATATCGTTAAAAGTTTTGACGATCTTCAACACTTTGGGTAAGGAAATGAAAAGTAACTAGTAAACTTAATGAAGAATTTTACATTAAACAATTATGGCTACTAATGAAGTTTAGAACCAACAAGTTAAGCAAAAGATATATTATTTTCTAGAAATTGACTATTTTTAAATGAAATTCAAGAACTGTTACATATCAATGAACAATTATATACCTTTATTTCTGAACCGTCTGAGCAGAAACCATTCAGAGAAGTCTGTTTATAAGCCTTTTTCATATACCTGTTTAAAATCTATACAATTCTCGCAAAATTAAACTTATTGTACTACTTATCAATTTACCTTCAGCCAGCAAAGCATATGAAAAAAATTCTTTTGCAAATTGAAAATAGTCAGGTCGATCATATTCATTTGGCAGACCCTTATCAGATAGATCATTTATTTCAATTCAACAAATTATGGAAAGAAAATAATTGAAAAGAGAATTTCGAGAACGAGAAGTTTGAAAGATATAAAAGAAAATGTAATCACATGAAACAAAATATAATTTCAAAAATCTAACTTATGATGAAATGTATCTGATTCAATCAAAATTGTACTTAGAAGGTTTCAGAGTTTTAGAAGAATTAAAATTGGTAACAAACCTTTTAAGGTAGCGAATAACAGTATTAGAATAAGCATATATGCAAATTTTCAGTAAGGTATGCAGCAATCGTATTTTCAATAGGTAATGTTTTCGTACTTCTGTGTTATTGCAAAAGGTCATACGCGGAAAAGCGAAAGGTCAAAGGTCACGGACACCGTTGATTCCAGAGGAGTTTTATGGAACCAACAATGTTTAATTAGTATATGAGCAGGAATGAATAGTAGTGTGTTGAAGATAAAACGTAGGCAAATATAAAAAGAATATAGTTGGGGACGACGCTTCTAGGAGAGACAGACTAAAGCTAGTGCAGGTATTGTTTCTGCGATCTTTTTATCGCTGACATTGTCATCGGATATTTGCTGCAAAGCTGCGGTTAAGTTTGGTGTGCTACTTATTTGAGTTGTTAATAGGAAAGAGTAAGGTCGACAAATATATGATTACTGACCAGTGGTCAAGAAGGCACTTCAGCAGAAATATGCTGTAGAAAAAATAAAGTTGATGAATGTTCAGCTCGACTGGCTCAAGCTACCACCCATACCTACATGAAAACGATAAAATTAAAGATGTTGATGACAGCGATTAGGACACTATGATGATGACACTAGTTGACAACGTTGACAATGACTACTCTGCTTGATATCTGCCTATATCTCCGTATCCTCTGCTCACTGACTGCTGGCGCAGGTGCGGAAGAAACAGTCCGGTGGTAGTGATCGCGCCTCCCTCCCACGTCCCTTCCGTTTCACACCCCCAACTTGCTTCTCCCATCTCGCGCACAAATCAAAACTACAATAATGACTGACTAGTACTGATTGATAGATGAACCGGTTCCCAAGATATCTAGCTGATAAAAAAATTGCCAGTCCATTTTACCCTTTTTGTACTCACAATTATTATTGATCATCGTGCTGTCACCGTCTTCCATTTCATTTTGAAACTAACCAGGTTACTTCATTTAGTGCAGCTGATCATCATAATTTATTACATGATTAATCATATATATATATATATATATATATATATATATATATATATATATATATATATATATATGGTTAGATTGTATATTTTTATCTTTCCTTACACGTGTGTATTTATCTTTCCTTACCTATCTCGTCTGTGTTCAATTTCTCATTCCTATTCTCCCAGTCTGACGTGCAAATATTTTTGTGAGATTTCTGCTTGCTGTCATCAGCCTTTCTGATAAAATGATTTAGAAAATGAAAAGGTGCGGTTGATTTTGCTCTTTGTGCGTAATTCCATATAACGTATTCGATATCAAGGAAGTAATAATAGTTATCTCATCATTTAGTATATCCATACTTAATAATAAAAGAAACTCACTCGGAATAGCTTTCGACTGTCTGATGCTAAGTTTCCTGGGACTCCCTAAATGGTTCTTTTTAACTTGCTCATGGCTTCTGAAGGGTGAATTTTTCAACAATCTTAGTTATCAAAGTTCATCTTAGCTTCAAAGTACAAATGTTAAATGTTGTCATGTATTTCACTAAGGAAAACTTGTTTTCCATTCAGTGATAATTGAATATTTTAAACTGTGTCAATCTCAGAAACAAATTTTTTCCGATTTCAATTTTCCACTTTCGAAAACAAATTGAAATCTCTTTATTTTCTTTCTTTTTGTTAAAAAAGGGTTGTAAGGGATGTTCGATGTGATATTTTGTGACTTCTTCCATATTAGTTTCTGCTATCCTTAATGATTTTCTAAAATAAGTCTTTAACACTCTCATTTTTCAATTTGTATTCTATTTAACACAGAATAAAATGCAGAAAAATATTATATTATAAAATGCAAAGTATTACGAAATCGCCAGTACAAAGTGATTTTTAATGGGAATTCATTACACAAATATAAACCTAGAAAAAGTGACAAAATATACCGCTTTGGTTTCAATCTAATACACATATAAAATTATGGTAAAAACAAATTTGATAAAAATAAAGAAACTTTAAATGATTTTGACCATCAGCCATTATTGTTATTCATTTTCGAGACGATGTGACAACTGTCATTCGTCAGTTGAGTCGTACGGATTACAACCAAAAATGGAGACCCATCGGACACGGACCAATTTTGACTGAATGCTCCAAATCTTTGTGACTTGAAAAAAACTTTGTACAGCCAGAGTCTGTTTCGATAAAACTATATCAGAAAAAAGTTCGGAACGAAAAAAAAATAAAACAAGTGGTTTAGCTTTCATTTCATTTGCACCGTCAAATTTAAAATATTTCAACATTCTACTTCATTAGAATATCCGTGGACATTTCAATACGCACATTCAATGGAAATAAGCAGCTAACTATTATCAGCTAACTATTAGTTGGCTCTAATTAATTTACTTTAGCTTGGATTCCAGTAGATGTAATAAATTTGCGCTTAACTTCAACTCGGATATTTCCAATGAAATCAGAGGAAAGTTATAACAAAATTGAGCATTAGTGATCGTACCATCTGATTAACCGTACAGTTAAATCAGTTTATATAAGTTATTTACTGGGACGACAAAATTAATTATCATAATTTCATCAGGAATCGTCAGCATTGTTAGCAGCACTTTACTAACATATGTATAGCGGCATTACTAGTGAATGAGATTTACTTTTTTCAATTTTTCAACCCATTCTTCATCAGAAACTTTGAGGGAATATAAAAGGAATATTAACTAATCAAAAATATTAAAGTGCATCTGATGGCTTTTATCGGGAACCTTTCCTTAATCTCGATTTATCGGGATTCTCGGTGTCAACAAAATTAACGAGTATTATTGTTAAATGCAATGGATATTGTCCTTTCTCGTAGCACTAAAAAGAAACGTTCAGCGCTGTTTATATATTATGTATATTATAAACAACGCCAGTAACACTTCCGAAAAAATTGAGAACTGGTCAGATTTAATTCATGTAGCTACTAAAGCGTTTTTCCGAATGGATAAAATTTGCATATGAAGGATTATTTACTCCTGAAAGAAGTTCTAAATGCAATTAAATTAGAAAAAGCAATGATATACTTATTGGCGAGCCTTTCACATCTTACTTAGTTCCTCGCATGAAACTCCCGGCTAGTGCTTCATTTTAAACCGACCCAACATCACAAAATTGTTTCATCGAGTCGTCATTTTCATTTCGCTCCTTTGTGTGTGATGGATGGCAGTGGGTGATACTGAACAGTGTCGGAAGGGTGACCTGTTGTTGGGGAGGTGATGGGAATGAGTAAAATATACTTGTCTCGAAATTTTTCCTGGTGGCAGTAAACAGAAAAGTGGTTCTTGCTATTTTGACTCGTATCTCAAACTTGGGTAATTAAACCTTTCTGGTAAAATGATTAATGCAAGAACGAAGGCAGCAGTTCGAATCCCAGTAAGGCAAATTAAATGATATAAAGTAAAAAGGGAGAGCGCAAATGACACCATATATCCCAACAACCGATCCAGCGAAAGGATTTTGTAAAATGAATTTGGTGGGTAGGACCATACGCTTTAATGGACGGAAGGTCCTTTTAAAGTCACAAAAACAGGGTCTTCAGGACGTACTTATTGGTATGGTGCTTTCTTTTAACGCATTATAAAATGTCTAAGCATTATGTATATGACTTAAAAGAATAAGGCTCTGTGGCTTTGAACAAAGATGATTACTCTTTCTTTGTTTCCGTTTTCGATATCAGCGATAGTATTGATTAGTTTTCAGGTATATCGGATATATGTACCTGCTATGGTTGATGTGGTGTTTCATGTTAGCTACTCCTGCAGGTATGACATAATTTCTATTGTTGGGAAGATCGTAAAGTCACATCTGTTTCAAAGCTGTACTCTTGTTTAGGACGTCATGTATAGATATTGGGTATTGTAGTTCAAATAGTGTTACTTATTCGTTAAAAAAAAATCAAGTTTCAAGCTAATTCTGTAGGGTCTTTTCAGCTTGAACCTTAAAATGGCCTGGGATTTACGTGAAATGGCTCTTAATCTTCAGAATCTGTTGCACTACTTTGTCGTAACTGCGGGCATGAGATTGTCGAAGGTTCAACGCTTACCAGTGAAAAAAGTGTGAAAGCTATACGTTCATATAATATGACTATTTTGGGCCGCAGTCAGCTCGTTCAAGTCTTCGAAAATGCCGTCCGTACGTTTGAATTTTCTTTTTCAATTCAGCAAGTCACCATACTTATCCCTTTATTCTTGATTCCTTTGACAACACCGGCAGGTGTTTCTCGGTATTTCAGAACGTTGGTTTTGCTTACAAGTTAGTTAAACGTCTTCATCCTTAGACAGTTGAAATTTAAAGTGTATTGTATGTAAGGGATCAGCAGACACTGTTTTTTCGATGCTTAGAAGTGAATATTTTCTCTATTCAATATATTATTTGCTAGTTTATCACTATTTTGCATTTAATTTCTTGCAGCTGAAAAATTCGATGTGATAACTGCTTCAACCGCTGAATTGAGACTTGCAGGTAAGGTAAGCAAACCTTGAAACTTTGTTCCAACTTTCCATTATCGAGTGATTTTTTAAAGGTGAAAAAAAGGTATTTAATGATTCGTTTATGTGAATAATCTACCAAGTGAATTTAAAAAGCTTGACATATATTACCGCCTGATGGAATGCAAGATGAAATCAGATTCCATAAATACGCTGTCCTTCCAATAGACAGTAATTGATAACTGGAACCACTGTTTCCCTGTCATTTCTTGGAACGGTTTAATTCTTTCATTTTTTTTTTCTTTTTTTTTTTTTGGGATGATCTAGTAATGTGTTTACTAAGGTGTTCCACAAACATTCCTCATTGAGACGATTTATCAAAAGTTCTAGTCATGTTCATACTATATCTTAATCATCATTCTCTAGTTCTTATTTTTGATTTAACGCTAAAAAAAAAAAAAAAAAAAAAAGGAAAAGAAATATTGTTTTGCAGCCTTTCCTAGCGGATACTTGGTGGCCGAATTATGAGTGGACTGTTTGTGTATGCCCTAGCTGTGGTTTTCATTTGGGATGGTATTACTTCTTGTTTTTGCCGTTTCGTTTCAATTTTTTTATTGACAAAAAGCTTTGGCATTTGTTAAGAAGAGTGATTTTTGAAATTCCTTATTTTTTATATTTCAGGTATTTCCAATCGGGTAATATTCAATCGAAATTACATAAATCATTCTTTGGGCTTGTGCTGGATTACTTAATCAGTGAAGAATGTAAGGATTTAAATATGCACGTTTTATGCTTTGATGAAAATGATTTTTAGGGAACACGCATGCTGACCATATATATAAATCAAAAATATATCGAATATTGGAAAGTAGCAATTTTTTCTATTATATTTCTATCATTATTTTTTTCAGATGTTGATTTGCTGACGTGGGTACCATAGCTTAGAAGCGAGTGACGTATGACGTCGATGTTTATTACCAGTATAGCGTAATGCAATTAGTTTGCTTTATTACTCATTAGATTTGAATGCAGTAATCTTAAAATAGTTCTATATTACTAATTATTGCTCTTCTTATATATACACATTTTAATAGTTTGAGAAAGTAAACATACTTCCTTTTTTGAAGTGCGCAGAAACATTATATAAAGCATAATGGAAAAGTATTTCTGCCGAATTTTAAGGAATATTTAAGTAGAACATAACTCACTTGAAATTTTAATTATTAAATCATTCGGTTGACTTACTTTCGTATTTTGAGACTAATTGTTTATTAAATCATTGTTGACTTGCTTTCGTATTTTGAGACTAATTGTTTATTGATGTAATATATTTTTACTATTCTACTGAATATTTTCATTATTTAAGTTCAATCTTTGTAAAAAGCAACTAATTTGTACTTTTTGCCTTTAAAAATATTATATGTATATAAAATACAATGTTTCGTTTTTTCGAAAACGGGGATTTTGTAAATCATGCATAGCCGTCATGTTGTCAAAAGCAAAATGAAGTGCTAACTTTATGGAATGATAGACTATGAATTATTTGGGTTTTCATGTTAGTTAGGCTTCAGGTATTTGCATATTGTTGATTAACATGAATTTGTTACAAATAGGAAACATATCTGCCTTTTCTGTACCATGAACATATGATTGCAAGATTTAAAATCAAATGATAGCATAATTCTGGGAAAAGGTATTGTCGCGAAAAATAGGATCTGATTTAAGTAATTTATGCAGCCGAAAAGAGAGTACTTTGCTGAGAAGGCGACGTTTGACCTTGTGATAAAGGTTGGTCGGAGTTATTGAACAATGTCAGGAAAATTTAGGAAGTAAATTGGAGAAGCAGAGGAAGTGCACAATGTCCGGAGCTGCTATCCCGACTAAATAGCTACCTCCTTTCCTCTGTATATAGTTTACAACAGAGCGTATTGATAAAGACTGTTCATATAGGATCATCTCTATTCTATACCGTAATAATTGCATTTTAATAATATCATTTACTGATAAGAATGAATGCCGGACTGGAAGACACAATTTTTAAACACTGAAAGTAAGCTTAGTTTAAAACAAAGAAGCTGACAATGGGAAATGGACGTATAAAAGTATGTTTATATCTAATTGACGGCAGTGGTGACCTTGGTGCCTTTATATTTTTTAATCTCAACTTATGAACTTGTTTCAATTATTTGAAAGCAAATATTATGTAAAATACGTACGGTTAAGAATCAGTTATCTATTGACTCTTAATTTGAACACTAGCATAGTGGATTTTCATAGATAAAAAATATCAGTCATTCTAGGTGTTGGAAAATTATTCTTATTAGTTTATGGTTATTCTGGTGTCATATGTTAGTGAATTAGTAAATAATTTAAAAGTTCAGCCAAATTCGTTTTTAAATGGCCTTGAACTTAACAATTAGTTCGCATTTTTTGAGCGGAGGCAGTCATTTCTGAGGATTTATAAAATCCCATCTACTTTAATTTTGAAATGCCAAATAGTATATCTCAGGACAAATTTCAATAAGTTCAGGCATGAAGCAGTGGTAAAGAACTTCTCGACCTAGCAGTAGTTAATGCACTGATTGATAAGACGGATCCGATTACATTTTATGGCAGCGCACACACAATTTATGTATTTGACATCGACGAACTACCACCTTATAATGTCCTCAAGTTATTTGCTGTCGATCGAAAAACTTACATCTACAATTACCAGTTAATACCACATTGCAACACATAAATAAAATGAATTTGCATCACAAAAACTATTAGGTTCATAAAGTCATTCAGGATAATTCTGGTATTGGGAAAGGCTTCTAGTATTTACCGTGTGTACAAATTATAATATTCTGAAAACCAGTTTTGAAGGCATTTCATATATTTCAAGGAATCCGACAAGTCCTAATTTCCAGCTCGGACGCGCTGGACAGGACGGTCATTTCGGAACGCTAACTTCGATGAATCGGCCTGTTTTTAGAACTTGGAGTGAGTCTTATGAGACAGATAAGGGATTGGACTTGCTATTTTCTTGGTGATGCATCTCATATCATATATTCAATTGTAGCAAGACAACTTCCTTCAACGACATGTAAATTTTATGACAAAAAATTCTATTTTTTCACACTTGCATTTATACAGACTGGATTACGCAATTTAAACTCATGCTTGGCAATCGCTTTGAAATTGCTTAGGAAAGCACACAGACTCTGTAATTGTTGCCATCAACTCATTTGAAAGAATAGAAAATTATCATTGAGCTTTAAAACTGAGTAATGAGGGTGACATTTTTTAATTGGAAATATATGAGATACAGAAATTCTTGCATGTAATGATTAGCTTTAATATTTAATGGTGGGATTAAAAAGATTTCTGTTATGGGATAGGAATATGCCGACTGAAGGGTCGCATTTCCAAATCAATAGCAAAAGAATTCATCAGAATGGACCAATAGAGGATTTTATAAGTTGGGAAAAGGAAAAAGGTTTCTGAAACATAAGATTAAGGACAATTAGGCAAGACATGTAAACTGTTGCTGATTGCGTTTACTTGATAAGATCGCAAGCTGCTGAAGTATTTTTTCTTTTTTTGCATTATCTGTTTCTATGGCTTAATATTTATATATAATGTGTTTTTGACGTTAGCAGAAACAATTCTAAGAAATAGGAAATTCGAAAACCGAAGAATTTGCTCTAAATTTTGTTTAAAATTCGTTCAAAATTAGGATTTCTTCATGGTTTATTGAGGATGAAAGATGAAGCATAGATAGATTGGAGAATGATTCGTTGCCAAACGACTTTTTGTCCCTTCTCATCAGTAGATATAAAAATTCTACATTAATTATCAGTGAACTCAGATAAATGTAGAATTCACATGAAAGTTATATGATAAAAGGTAACATTAACAAATATTTAAAAAAAAAAAAAAAACATTCATTCGACAAACACAGTCAATTGATCGCTGAAAAAAGTGACTGTTTTCTAAAATACCATGCGATTCCCTTCATTAAATTGTAGTGTTAACAGGAATTTAACTAATTCCGAAGGAGTTGTAGAGCTAGTAAGGAATGACTCGAACTTACAGATTTGCGCTCCATAATATTTCTCTGCTTAAAATATATGGTGAAAAATGTAATAACAAATACAATAAAGGATAAAATTACAATAGCACAGCATAAATGACCGCATAAACTACTAGCTCCACTCGTCTCTTCATTGAACACTCGTGTCGTTACAAGTTTCAAGTCTGAATGAAGCAACGCAGACAATAAGTGTTCCCTGGATTGTATTACTTTACCGACGATGTTTAAATCAAGGTGATTGGCTGAAAATACCAACAAACTTGTTTGCTATTACGAAAAAGTGCCTTTTCTGCACCAATTTAGCGACAGTGCTGAATTCCTTCAACAAGAAATTCCAATAAAGTCTTAAACACCATTTCAGCTTTGAAAAGGTCTACGCCAGACTACGTCCTTCTTAGCAACATTTACTAAATGCATTTCGAATGATAACTTTTTTGTCGCTTTTTTAAAAAGTGATTTTTTTCGACAACTAAAAATAAATTCAGACTTCTTGAATTTGAGATATTCATTACTGGAAATGCAACATTTCTTTAATACGTTACTTGCATTGGTAAACTACAACAAAAATGGAATGGCTAACAATTAATGCAATGATCTTAACTTATACGACCTTGACGCGTCCTTCCTATTTACACTTTTTTTTCAGATTTTCTTAATAATTAAAATTTTACTAACAAGCACTACTTAAAAAAAATTTCTTATAACTGGCCAGCTTGCTAAATATTATAAATGATAACCTTGCAGAAATGCATAAGTGGTGGCATTCCTTAGCACAAGGAATGTGATAAAATTATTTGGTGTGCCACAGAAAATAGTGCCAACCAAGACATTTTTTACTTCCACTGCACTCACCAGGTTACATTGAATAGCTGTAGCACATTCTTCATTGATCCAGCGAGCTAACGCTGCTCGAATTGTATTCACATTGATTTTAAGAACTGACGGACACTCAAAAAATTCGACATAAATCCAACGTGTGCCATTCCTTACATCATTTTGAATATACTCAAAAAAAATTAGAATAGAGTTTTCCATGCTATAAACATGACAATATTGATTGAGGGAAGTTGATTAAGGAATTCCCGATATGCTTATTTGCTAAGATCATGATTCTAAACAATATTTAGTGTTCGCGATACTACTTATATCTCATCCATTTTAAAACAAAACTGCATCAGTAATGTTTTAGGAAGTCAGCTCACGACTGCTGAATATCGTCTAGGAGGAACATACAGAATTTCAAAGCAAGTTGTTCAAATTTCAATTCCTGGCAAAACAAACCTGAGTGGCTCTTGTTGTGATACAGATTATATACAACCAACTGAAGCCCAATAAAACGATTATGGGCATTAAGAGTTGAAGGATCGCGAATTTTTAACAAATTTTAAGAGGACGTAGGAGAAATGTTACGCTTTTTAGGGGCACTTTCACTATTCGATGTGGAAGGGGCGCGCATTGTAACATATTTTATGAAGAGGTGGTGAAGACAGTAATAGTAACAGCACTAGTAGCAACACTGTGTAGAGGACGATACTATATCATTAGTGATTATCTACGATTGACCGATAACACATCACTCTTACACTAATTACCCTTTTCTTTGCCAAATGCAAACAATCAACCATCTCAAACAGTCTTTAAGTTTTCTCTGAGTTTATCTGTAAAATGATATAATAATAAAAAAAAAAAAAAACTCAGCGAAACACTACAGATGACGAATTTGCAATAACGAAAAAAAAAATCGTCCTCAGCAATAAATCAGTGGAACAAAAAAATCTTCAAGTTCTATAACCAGAGTTATTGTGACAAAGTGCTACTTTATAAATATCGTCAGTTTGCTAAGAGAAAGCGATCTCATAGCAAATTTCTAATGATATTGCACAGCACTATAGTGAAAAACAGGTCAAGAAACTAGAACTGTCGCAAAACTTACGATATATTGCGTCGCTTCACTGATAAATTTAAAGATTTGATATGAAAAAAGTTAGTAAACAACAAAGATAAAAAACCCCACCAATAAGAAATAAGACATGATATCTATTTCCCAGCTTGGTGAAGCGACAATTAAGTGGTACATTCATAAATCTCGCTAACTGTAACTGGTGCATAATCTCGTGCCATTAATGTTAAAGGACACCAACAAAAAAAGAATATTAACCCAAGCTAAGATTTCAGTAACATCCAAAAAGCTATATTCAGCATTACTAATGTGAAGGAAATGTGAACCTTTATATACATCCTAAATAAACAGTGTAAATTAATTGGTGAAACATATAAAAACCTAAATTACAAATCAAAGCCACAATCAATAACTATGCAGTAATCAATTTCGAGGAGCGAATGAACTATGCAGAATGTTGGCTTTATTTGAAAAGTTTGAAAGTACTGCGTTAATTTTAATGACTTATTCCTTCCATTTTCTCAAGCCAAATCCATAGTCTTTCCAATAGGAAGTTGGCCAGCGATTCGCGCGATTTGTTTCAAATGGTGCTGGGTAGTCCTAGAAGAGTTACAATTTTTTCAAATGCAAAACTTTATGTAAATAAACTTCTTGAACAAAAATAATGAGAAAATTTCGAAAGTAAAGTAGAAAACCACTAATTCAACATCCTCTACGTTACTATCCAAAATCTCGTTTGGAACCAGTTAGTTAAAATTCCAAAACCAACTTCAGGAGGTCTCCATTCCAGAACAATCGGATCATCAGGGCGCACGACATGGTAATATTTCCGATAATAAGGCATAGCTGAAAATTATCTAAAATAAAACTAGTAAAAAAGTGCAACAACAACACTATAACTTTACTGAATTGCAGGAACCGACTGAGAAACAGAAGTACAAAACATTAAGATTTAAGACATCTTTTAAATGTCATAACGAACCTATAGTTTAAATGATGAGAAAAAATAACGGGAATTGTTATGTCTATATAGCATACTGGAGCATTAAATAGGAAATGGCACTTTATAAGCCCTTCATTTCTCATTTTATGATGATGAGGACTATCAGTATGACAGGAAAAATTTTTCAGCTTGATGTAGAAAACACGAATTAAGAGCTCATGGCATCTTTAAAGGTAATTAGGTTAAGCAATATCATTGCTGAATAAAATATGATGAATCTAAAGTAAACAGTGTGTTCTCAATTCCATCATCCTTAAGCAAAATTTAATTCAAAAAAATACTAACAATTATATCCCGAGCCGTACTTGAAAATATCATATATGACAATAACAGTCATCGGAACAAAACAAAATACAACACCAACGAACTGAAACGACCCAATTGGAAAATTCACATTAATTATTCGACAGTGTGTAAAGAGACTGTTTTGTTAAAGTAAAACTATGAAATTCTCTGTAAGAAATAAAGTGTAACATCTGAGTATGATGTCTTACAAACAAATACATAAAATAAGGCAAAGATAATATATAGTAATTTGATTAAACACGTGTTTTCAAACGACTTTGGTCTTCGAAAATTTTTAAATAAAAGTTACATAAATCAAGTATCTGCAGGTCTTTGTATCTTTGTTAAAGTTTAATGTGCAAAAATATGTTTGCTTGAGAATAACTCTGAGAACTGGAAGAAGTTTGCGGAACCACCGCTCACATGACATGGTTGAGATGAAATATTTATAGCAGTTTTCGCCTGTCTAAAAAAATAAACAGAAATCTCACATGTGTAGGCCAATTATTCCATAGCCATCGAGGATATGAACGGGCAACTCGTATCATTCGTATCCATCTTGATGTCACCATTCCTGCAACACACTACTTCTCGTCAGTCAATGACCTAACTTTGCACAAGAAGTAAACTAAAAGAACTACCGAAATGAATTAAATCGAACTAAACAATTTATCTCCTCCAAATCTGTTATTCTTGCACACCACTTTCTCAGAAACCAGAGACTGAAATGCTTGCTATAACAAAACACCAACTGAGACTACACACTCCAATCAAATTCTCAATCTCTGCACACCCAACTATACAACTACCAAAGCATCTGCCTCCCCATGTCTTTGTCAATCTCTACTACACTCCTTTCCACCTTACACCTACAAATCTCACGAAGTGAGTGTTGCGTGTGTGTGCTATGCTACGAGTCATGAAATTAACGGTTTCAGTCTGAAATGTGGGCAAAAATTGAAGTCAAATATAGATGGTCGAGGATATATCATTTAGCGTACGTCATGTTTTCATTTTCTTTTAAATGAAAAACTTAGGACGAAATTTCTGAAAAAGATTGTTCACTTGCTTTGCTTCTGTAACTCTGTTTAGCTGATGGTTTGACAATGAAATGAATGTTATGAATAGCATTATTTCAGGCGATTCAACTAGTCCTGTCTTGCATGGCATTTAAAAGGAATCTAACCTATTATTGATCTGATTTGCCTGAAGGTATGGAAAGTACAGGCCACGCCGCTGATATGGGAAGTGGCAAGATGAGTAGTGGAGATAGCGTACACAGCTGGAGAGATACTCTTCCAGTTTCGATGGTATCGAAAAGTGAATTGAGCGTATGGAGTGTGCTCAAAAAATGCATAGGAAAGGTAAGAGATGCTAGTTTGAACACCCCCTTTAATTTCATTTTTCAGTGATAAAAACGACGCATCATCAAATGCGGAAAATACGGATATTTAGCTGACGTGATAAATCTCTCAACTGATATTAAGTGATAACGCAACGTTAGACCTTTTCAGGACCTGACGCGAATTTCCGTCCCGGTAGTTTTTAATGAACCACTCAGTTTCCTGCAACGCCTCGCTGAATACATGGAATATGCTGAATTACTGGAGAGAGCAAGTAAATGTGCGGATGTCACTGAAAGATTTGAGGTAAAGTGATTCGAGCCTATTTCGAAGGCGTTAACAATTCGAGGCCTTCTACTTTTCTCACGTCAAACGTCACGAAAAGAATTAACTTTGGAAATTAGAGAGAATATGTGGGCTTTGTTTTAGTATCAAAATTAATGTAAGTTCATGCAAATGATGTTTTTGATAATTTTATCTGTATATTGAATGTGGGATCATGGCGCGATTAAAATCAGCGAGGTTTGTTGCAGTATGTTGCTGCGTTCATTGTTTCATCACTTTCTTGTAATTATTTGCGATTATCGAAGCCATTCAATCCCTTGTGGTTTGAAACCTATGAATTAGATAGGTAAGTTTTTTATAAAATTAAATGTGAAGGTGAAAGCGAATTTTCATCATTCAATGCAATTTCATTATTAGAATTGTAGTATTGCTTTATAATCGAATATGCATAGTGTTTTAATATGTAATATCAAGTTTTTGAATACTTTTTCTGAAAAAAAAATATTTTAATAGGGCTTTAGTGCAATAAATTGTCGTAAAGAGCTTTAGGAATAAAAAACAAAATTTTTGTATCTATTTCTGCTTCTGTATTTTTCGGTCAGTTTTTTAATTTTTTAGGAGTGACGAAAATGGTTATCGCTTTATCGCTGAACAAGTAAGCCATCATCCGCCCAAATCTGCCTTTCATGCTGAATCGAAAAGCTATGAATTTGATGGTGTTGTTTCACCACGATTGAAATTTTGGGGAACATCTATTGAAGTACAACCGTCAGGGAGTTTTCGGCTAAAATTTTTGAAGTTTGTTCTTTTTTCCATTTTTTCTTTTTCATGTAAGTGGTATTGCTAACTTATTTCTAAAGTAATTGTTATTTTAATTCACACCTAGTTTTATTATTTCCTTTTCAGTCATAATGAAACTTATGCATGGAAAACACTGAACGTAACCATTCATAATATTGTCATGGGACAAATGTATATACAGTTGGTAACTTATTACGATATATTTTAGTACATTTACTAATTTTTTCAAACGTTTATGTTAAATAATTATCTTTATACTTCTACAAAATTTAAAAAGAGCTTTTTTGATAATATAAATTGAATATTTTTCCAGGAAGGGCATCTTCTTATACAATGTAACACAGGATTAGAGTGTAAGCTATCTTTTAAGAATAACGATAATGGACCTTCGAAGCAAAACACCTTCTTCCAGGGTTTCATATCAAAGCAGTTGGTTTATAATTTTAAATTCAAATTAATATATTTTGTTGTCTTATCTTTTACTCTACGAAATTTTAAGCTTGTAAACCATAACTGATTACAGAGAAAAAGCTTTAAGAGCAATTTACGGGAATTGGACAACATTTCTTGCCACTTGTGAAATCACTAACTTCGAGTTCCGTTACGATGATTGGTTGGAAATTGGAAGACAGTTCTTCCAAAACTGCTCTGCTGTGGTGGGTTTCATTTTTCACTCAAATCATCATTTTGTTTTTGTATGCGCATATGTTTTTGAAGTTTTTTTTTTTTTTTTTTTTTTTTTTAATTTTTAAAAATTTATTTAAAAGCATTATTTAAAAAGCTTTATATCATTCTACTGGAAATTATTGCAGGAAGATATACCTTTAATTCAAAGATCAAAACTGATATGGAAGAGTCGTCCTCGACCTTTGAATTCATCTTCAGTATGCATTCCTTAAAAATTGAATTAATCTAAGTTACTATAAAAATAATGCTGGCTCAAATTTTTTTATAATGTAATTTTGTTTAAAGCGGTTAATATTCTAGCCAGCTTTGTTTCCAGATGTATAATTTTACTTCGTTCACGTTTCTTTTAAATGATCCATCTGGCATAACAAACTTATTACCTCCAACTGACAGTCGACGAAGACCCGACATACGCCTTTTAGAAACAGGTCAAGCAGGTTGGCATCTGTTTTTTAGAAACTTATAGTAGCTTGGGTTTCTTTAAACATGTCATTTGCTATTTTCCCTTATGAGATTCTTTTCTTTTTTAGAAGCAGCAGAGAAAGAGAAAGAACGTTTAGAAGTTAAACAAAGACAAGCTCGCGCTTTAATGAAGAAGACAAGGGAAAAACTACCCAAGTAAATTTAAAATTATGCGAGAAAATAAAATGCAGTTCCATTCAGTAGCTACTGTCTTTTTTTTTAAAACCAACATTGATCTGAAGTGGGAAATCTTGGATTTAATTTGCAAGCACTGCTTATGGTTTCTATGCTTTTTTTTAGATGGTTTGAAAAAGTCACTTCTAAAGATCAGTTGTTGTGGATGTTCACTTACAAATATTGGAATCGTGAATACTATGACTGCGAAGATATTTACTGAAGCAAATATTTCAAATAATCTGGTGTTGGAACCGGTGAAAAGTTAATGGGTATTTATATAAGAATTCATAGTTTTGCATCTCAATGGTTGTTTAATCCATTTAGATTTGTTTTTGTTCGGTGCTTTGTAGTTAAATTTCATTTAGTGATTCGAACATATGATATTCCGTTGTCTGTTACTACTAGGTCGCTCTTTCAATTTATCTGTTTTTATAGAGATAATTTTTCATTTTCATCCAAATTCGAGCCGCTACAAATACATTCATTGTAATTTCCACGACAAACTCTAAATCTTCTTATCTGTTTTTTTTTTTTTTTTTTTTTTTTTTTTGAACTGGTTAGTTTTTTTTAATTTACACTGTAGAATTTCGTGGTAACTACTTTTCTGATTTCGAAATTACTTTAAACTAGAAATTGTTTATTTCAGTTCATTTCACATTTCTATATATCATTAACGTCGTCTCAAATGTTAGAATTAATGCGATGCATAGAGTATCCTGTTGGAATGTTATGCAAACTGAAACTATTTTTGGCTTTTCTTTATGAGGATATTATTTTTTCCTTTTTATTTTTGGTGAAACTATGATTCAAGGTTGAGTTAGACGTTTCAAAATATAGTTTTATGAATTCGGTTTTTAAATGATGACTATCTATAAGGCATGATGCAGTTCGCATTGTATTAAATCACAATTGATTCTCTTTGTTTTAGTACAGGAGCCTTAGAATTATTTGCAGTAATAATTGCTTACTGACATTACACAATCTGAGGAAGGAGAAAGAAGTTATCTGTTATCAAACTAGGCCGCAATATTTTACGTTGAATATAGACAGTGATTGACATTTAATCATATACTTATGAAAAAGTATTTTGATTTAACTTTAAAATCATTCATGTCAACATTCGCTTAGTGGAAATTTAGACAAGGATTAAAATTGTTTATATCAACATTCGTTAATTGAATATTGATCTAAACAATTTTAATCATAGATTAAAATTGTTTATACTGACATTCGGTTAATGTTTCGGAAACGTGTTCTCCTAACACTTATTAGCATGGTTTTTGTATCGAGATTGATTTATCCCAGTAATCACAGGAACTTTAGGAGGGCTTAATTTTGATATTGATCGCAACATCTCAAATACTTCAAGAATATCAAACCAGTTCTGTGCTTCTAGTGGTTTGAATGATTCTGGAAATGATATTCTTGACAGTTTTAGCCAGGCTTTTTAATAAATTGTCTATATTATGAGAGGAAATGTTTAGTCATTGTTCAGTAGACTGATGGTTATTCAGTAATTTAAATATAATTCAAAAAAGTTCATCTATTTTTAAGTTAAAATATTTAGGTGGTTATTAAAGAGGTTTTTATAGTGCATAGTTTGCCCTTCCGCGATTCTTTTGCTTGTTTATTTACATGGCAATTTGTAGCATGACTCCTATTTATTGTGATTGTTTGCATTACAGTATCATTTAATGCTTGCTATAAACAATATGCAAAGGAATGATATTTATTCGATAGAATTGAATTCACTTTCCCGGTCCATCTTATTTCTTGCTTCCCCTATCCAGTTTCTCAAATACTGTTATATTTATAAAAATTTGTAAGGGAAATGTTTCTCTTTAATTTATGATAATCTTTAAAGATCTTTTTGAAATATACTTTATGATACTCTTTAAAGATAACCTATAAAACGCTGCTGAGTTGTATTTATATTTTAATTTTGTAGAAACTAAATACTTTCAGTGAGATTTCTGTGACTTTTATTAGGAGTACTTTTAGTATTCGTTTATATTTCTTTTTGCATATATTTCTTTTTTATATTCTTCTCGGACCCTTTCATGATTTGTTGCAACTTTTCACGAAGCCCATATTATTGTCAAAGTAAGATCCTGACATAAAAGTGAATGTCCCTTGTGCAGTTTCTTATCAGGCCAAAGCTCTATTGTAATAACCGAATTTAAAATCCTTTTTTTGCCGTACGTTATTTGGATATTGTAACCTGTAAAGTAGTATCATGTGCTCTAATATTAAAACTGATTTCCTATTCATAGAGTTTTTTATTGCAGAAACGAAACAAACATATTGGTTGATTATGCTTTCTTGAAAGTCATGTTTTTATTTGAAAACGTTATTTCTTCGATAACAATTTCTTCATCTTTATATTATAAAATTGCATTCTTTTTCCAAACTTTGATAGAATTTCGATAAAGATAAGAAATTTCGAGATATTGCGCAGTCTCATTCAGCAAAGACATATGGAATAAATATCTGATAACATACGCAAAATAGAAAGCATGCGGTCTTACTATTGTAATTGAAATGGTTCTAACATTGAAAAATTCGTTCATCACTTTAAATCACAGCGTTGATTTATTTGAACTGAAAGTGATATGAACTCGTCTCATTTTGGATTTCTAGAAAATGATCTAATGTTAAAATGAGGTAAAAGGAAATAATTCATTACAACAATAATCGAGAGAGTTGCTATGCCCATAGTTTGAACTGTAAACGACACTATTGGCTTCCGCATCTGCTGTTATCGGATATTTTGGCAAATGACGATTCTTTCTGAAAGGTCTAAATTACTGTGATTGCTCAGGTAAAATATATACTTTGGTCCTTCAATGAAGTCGCTTTATTTTTGTAATTAATCATTCAAATTTCTTAAGCAACAAAACTACTCTCGAGTGGTTTTGAAATTTTTTTCTTTTTTCAAAATCAGGAACGTTCAGTCATGCTGTATTTTGAATGTGTGCAATAACAACCAAAACAATTGCTGCCATTTTTTGAATTGATTTTGTTCATAGCAAAATCAATTGCGACATTTAAACTTTTGCCTTCCCTTGATTTCTTTTTCAAAATCAACAATCAAGCTGGTTCAGATTTTAATTTTTTCTTACAATAGTTTTATTTTCCTTTCCTTTCCACTCAATCGTGTAAGAAATGGACAGTTGAAAAGATCATCCTGTTAGCCACCTATGTCAAAAAGTTAAAAAAAGGAGAGATCCTGAGAAGTCAATGTGACATTCATATATCTAGCGTGGAAGAGTGTAACAACAGAAGTAATAGAGTGGACAATCTTTATGATAATTTGCTATTATTTAAGTAAAGTAAAACATTTGGAGTTGAACAACGACAATGTCCCCTGCATTACAGCGAGATAACACGAACTTTATTATGCCGGGAAATATGCAAAAATCGCGGGAAAAGCGAAGGGAAGAGTTGGAGATCAGATGAAATGACCCATGGCCATCCCGCCGGATTAATGAGTATGTTGTGATTTAGGATAAGCTAATAGGAAGAGGAAGAAAGGAAGAAAGAAAGATGTGTTAAAGCTTGCCCACCCAATGCCCTTCTTTTTATTCCCACAGCTGCTTGGGAAAATTAGAAAGATGATGCGCTCGTTCTTCATGAGCGCATCATCTTTCTTTCTCTCTAATCTTTCGATTTGATTTTTTTTTTTGTTTTTTTACACTGATTTTCATTTGTCAATTTTTGATGGAACTCTCTCAGTTCTTTTCTCGAAATGAATGCCAGTTCGATGCTGAGAACTTTGATGTCTGGATTGCACTACGTTGATGCTCTTGTTTCTAAGACAGTCCAAGTCTTCACTTTCCTTATATCTTAAACTTCCATATTATCATTCATCAATTCAACTTTACTTTTATCCTTCGTCCTTCAGCAACAGATCGAAGACAATTGAGTATAATAAGTGTACGTTATGCGTATATGAAATTCATTATTAAATGAGCATTAGTATAGGTACTGATAGAAGATACTCAGGGGAAATGATGTTACGGTACTCTTTCCACACTTCTTTTTCATCCATTAAACTCTTCTATGATTTTCTCATCTTGACATTTCTAGAAGCATCAATGAATAATGAGAATTATGTCGGAAAACGAATGCTTTTTGTACCATAAACTTTACTGAATGTTCTTTGGTTCATAGACCTTATCAAGTTTTGGTATTTGGTAATTGTTGTTATTCGTCGATGCTTATTAAAAGTTTTCACTAGATTTTCCTCACATTTGGGAAGAAATACTTTTCTTAACAATAAGCATTCTATTTACTTCCATGTCAGAAAAAGTGTTGGATGAGAGAGGGAATTCAAAATTCAATTAAATTTAAAAATTTATGAGCACTGAATATGCACTCTTCCATACTTCGCTTCTTAAAAAGTACAATTATTGGTAGTAATATTTCCATAGCATCAAAATATGAGGATACACTGCACTGTTCAAAGATCTAATCTTTTCTTTCTCTTTTCCTTTTGTTCAGTCTGAAGATATTTATCAGGCAGATGCTTTTCATTTCCATTATTCCTCCAGTTCAGTTTATTTCTTCACATCTTATCATAATTTACCTTTTGGTTTATTCTATTCTCTCCTACCGTAATTTTCGGTTTTATCATTAGTTTGTTTCCTCCATCTTATTATGGTCCTCACTCTTTTTAGGATTTAATTGGGAAGTGTAGCGAAGGAGTCAAAAAGAATACAGGTACTGTTCACTGACTCACGCATAACCGTTTAATTCAAACCATTAAAAATTTCTGAATACACACCTGATAGTTAATTTGTGTATGACAGAAGTGCTAATTTCGTCCGCTGCACTTCATTTCATTCCTCTCTGCAGTTGCTTTCGATAAGTGTCGTGTGAACGAGACAACAGAGGAGACAAATGAGATATTGAAATTTATTAAGCTAAATTTCGAGAAAAGTTTAATTGCTACTCTGTATGAAGTCTCCAGTTTTAGAGTATTTTTTCCATGAGTATATCTGCAAAATTTTTTCCAAGGAAATATGTGCTAAACCCTGTCTTAAAGCTTTTTTTAAGAGAAGTACTGCAGCAATTATAATTTAGTTGGATGAGAGATAATCACAAACCATTCCTGTTATCTGCTTTCCTCAATTAGTAAAATCACTCTCGAGAAATGTCAAGATTAATTGTGTGTTTTCGAGTATTTCTATATGCATTTGCGCTGTTGGGCATTAAGTACAGTTAGTTTATGACATGTCATAAATAATTTTAGTGAAGAAAATAAAATATATCTAAATCTTTCTCGCTAATCATTATACTGAACAGCAAATCATTTATCGGTCTGTTACTTTAATAACTCGATGATGATCCATTTTAATATTGATCAGTTGATAGGAAACCAAAATAATATATTTGAAAAAAAAACTCAAAATAATATGCCTAATTTAGGAAAATAATTATCAGCAGATTGACTTTTAAAGCAAAATCAAATTTTTGTTTATAGAATACGTGGAAATCGAAAAAGCTGACAGGAAAAAATATTCTATAATTATTTCAGGTAATAACGAAAAGATAATAAATTATTAAAATAATTTCATCTGAAATTTCATCGATAATCTCATTCGAGATATTAAAGTTTTTAAGAAAGTAATTTCATCTGAAGTTTCAAAAAAGTAGTCTGAGGAATAAATAAATGCAGATTACTTTTTTATAATGAAAATTTGAGCCTCTGTGCAATGTGCATGATGACTTGTTTAGCTGAGCTAACTTTACCACTGCATTTTGTAGAGAATTAAGATATGGAGGGAAGGATGAATGAGAGATCGAATGTTTTATCAGCTGATATCTTGAGTCTCTTTCAGAAGTTTGAATACTGTGGTATGACTGATTAGAAGATGGTTTAATTTTTCTTATTCCACTGCTTATTTCATTATCTTCTATCCTGTCATTACTGTTAATAGAAGATTTATAGAAAGAATAAACATCGTTGTTATGGACGTATGTTAATCTAGAAATACCATTATAAATTCAAAATAACTCGATGTTAAGCACAATTCTTTCATCAGAGCTTGCAAAAGAATACAAAGAATTCATAGATCATTTGATGTAGACCGTTTGCTTATATTTTCGTGCTATTCGCTTGCAGCAAGATTGAAAGTTATCATGTGGAATTAGATATTATCGAAGTAGATATTATCAGTATGTCTGATATTATCACTGTACTGTAAAGAACGTCATTACATTCTCTGTAAATCTTCTAAATATCCTATGAATGTACAATTTTCATTCCTCATCATCCCATAACAATTCAAGACAAGATTAAATTTACTTCCTTAAATGATTTTCTCTCTTTCATTTTCAGAAAGATTCGCTCATCTCAAAACGATGCACCACAACGCGCTGTTTTTAACAACTATTACTGTATTTTATGTTGGTATGTCACTGTTAGTTTATTTTTAGAGGGTTCATTAGTGCGTTTATCAAGTGGTACAGTTCAGTATTAGAAAGGACAGAAAGTTCTGCTTCCTTAATATAATTCTCAGCTTCTCTAAATCGGCTTTTTTCTTTTGCGTTAAAAGTTCTATCCTGAATTTTGATTTTTACCTCATTTGATGAGTACTAAACAATCCACTATAAAAATCATAAGATTATCAGTCATTCTCTCTCTCTCTCTCTATTAAAATGGTATATATAGTTTTTGTTTTCCAATTCTTTTAATTCCAAAATTCTTGTTCTGGAAAAAGATTCTAAATTCCTATATTTTTCCAGCTGCACATAAATTTGGTTATGATGCAGAAGATGGACCGAGCACGTGGCGAGGCGTATGTCAAACTGGGAAGCGTCAGTCACCTGTAGACATTAAAGCATTTGAAATAGAAATTGCACCTTTAGATCCTTTACAATTTCTGAACTACGATCTCACCGGTCATATTCACCTGGCAAATAATGGACATACTGGTAATCCACTGATTAATTCTCTCATTCTTTTTGAGCATTTTCCTTCTCAAAATGTGTAAATTATTTAAAACTGTCCATGTTATCTGAAGTCCAAAACATTTTCAAAAAATAAAGGCGCTATACCTAATAAACAATGTGACTAATTTAAATAGCGTCTGTGTGAGAGATATCCTGCGTACATTTAGACAAAAGAATGTCTGGAAGGTACGTCAACTGCCTTAAATATGAATTTGAACTCTATGAGGCAAATTGAACATGACAAATAATAGTGGATGCATACAGGAACTTGGAAAAGCGGAATCATTAAACCTGCAGTGTATCCAGAAATTGAGAAAACTATTGCTGTCTTACCTTACTGTATGGCGGTATTATACGTCTTAGGGGTACTGACGAGACAATTGATTTAATTTATTACTGCCTTTTCCTAGATTCCTAGTTATTAATATTCTAATTCTTGTATTTAAAATAATATCGATTGGTTTCGGTTGCACTTGGTTAGCATACATTAGATCCATTACAGTGGTTGGTTCCGGTTTTGAAAGATGGGGTGAGAAGCGACCGTATATCTCTGGTGGCGGTCTTAATGGTACCTACCAACTGTCACAGTTTCACTTTCACTGGTCTCAACAAAATGATACTGGAAGTGAACATACCATTGCTTCATTGCATTATCCTGGCGAAGTAAATGACCTATGATTCATTTAACAATGAATTTATCTAACAATTATATTTAATTTTTTAAAGTAATATGTTCTAATGAATTAATGATGAAATAATGAGTAAAGGAATTAAAGAAATACTCTACTTAATAAAGAAGAAAAAAAGTATATTATGTTGCCATCATGAATTCGTCTTCATACTTTTAAATATTTAGGATCTTTGAACAAATTAAATAATTACAACTTTACTGAGTCGAATTGACACCTAGACTTCAAGAGATTAAAAAAAATTCAGGATGAACTTGCTAAAAATTTTCCAAGTAGATCAACACATCGCTTGTGTCAGTTACTCTATGATATGATCAGATATAGTGACATTTACACCTGATATTCATTTGGCGATGCAAACAACATGCATATATTTGTTTCAGTTGCATTTAGTGCATATCAAGAATGACCCGTCTCCAGATGAAGTGAACACCATTGCTGTCGTGGCTGCATTTATAAAACTTGATGATCATGCTGAATCATTGCACAATCTTAAACCTTATGTCCATAATATCAAAATGCCGAGTTAGTTACTTCCTTCATAACTTATTCCACTAATTATCTTGAGTGCTTATATATTTTCGACGCTAATTTTAACTGTTTCAGTACTGATACTGATTATCAGTATAATCAGGTACTGATTTTCTCCTCAGTTTTCAGATGACACTGTCAAAAATCAGTGGTAAAGAATTTTCAAACTATTGAATTGCAGACACCGAGCTTGTGGTACCTGGTTTTAGTGTCAGCTCATTGCTTCCAGAGCATAGGGAAAATTTCTATAGGTATGAAGGATCACTGACAACGCCTGGTTGTGATGAGGCTGTGGTATGGACATTAATGGCGGATCCTATCGCAGTCACTCCATCACAAGTGAGAATTTCCTCACAAGTTCAATAATTTTGAAATAAAAGAACTGGTAAACTAATAAGACATGATATATGCATCTGAAAGGATGTTGAAAAAAGCTGTAGAGAATGAGCACTATGATCTGAAATGAACCGAAGCATTTCTCTTTGTCTGAAAACGACTTCTCTTCTTTCTACCGTTCTCACATTGAAATTAATGACACTGCTAGTATGATAAAAGCATCAGTTTTCCGACTGATCAAGGTAAAATGTCCCCTTTATTCATCAAATTAAAAATTATTTGAAATAGCTTGGGCTCCAAGAGAACTCTTTTTCTGTTTAGTCAATCATTTTATTGTCACCTGACCAAATCTTTTTATAGGGAAATAAGTCTTTCTGATATTCTTGGATTAATGCTGGAAAATTAAGCGCTGCAATTTGTATTGTCGCATCACTGAATATTCAATTATCTTTATTCCATAAAGTTGCTTATATTTATAGATTTTTGAGGGAATTACATAAAATTTGAAAATTATGTACTTTTTTTTCTAGATTATTCTAACAAGATTGCCAATCTTTTTTGACTACCAGCTGGGAATTACTTTCATCTCATGAAACAGTAAGATTCCGGAATAAATAAATCATTCGAGAATTTGACACACCCTTTTGTGCTACACTGTGACGAAACAGAAATGTCCTTAAAGGTCACAGTACTTTTAATTAGTGAAACGATACAACTTATAAGTACCCAAAGTATGTCAAAACACTATTATAAGAAAGAATCCTTTATAACACTGCAAACTTTGCGGAAGGTTTTCTCGACGAATCTATTGGTTTTACAGTTTTATTTAATTGATTACTTTATCCCAAGACAAATTTTTTACATTGAAATTGGAAGTATTGCATTACACCACGTTTTGAATTCCATTAGACCACAAATACTTCTTGGGACTTGAAGGCCAAAACTAGCAAGAACTGTGATAGCAATAGTAGTAGTAAATAAGTCAATAAGATAATCCCTCTACATGAAAAAAAAATCTCGATAAGTGCCAAAACATGCGAAAAATATGACTTATAATAAAAGTCATATTATTGAGGAGTAGTTTATTTATTCGATGTTATCAAGGTAAGTCCTAATTGCCGCATTTTCTTAAGCGATAACTTACAGTTGTATCATTTTACAGATGGGAGCATTTCATCAGGTGCATTTTGCATCAGGAAAGACTGGACACAATTGGCGTCCAACACAACCACTCAACGGTCGTAAAATACTATTTCGCCCTTCAATCACTTTAAGAAGTTTTAAAAGTGGTGGTGTTATGTTGAAGCCAGTTTTCCAACCGCTTCTAAGTATTTGGCTGTATGGAATATATCATATTATTTCGTTTTTTTAGTATATTTTCCGAAGTTCTATTGGATTAAAGCCGACCTTTCGTTCCATGTAACTTTTTCATAGTTATTATTGTGTTTAGTTTCCATTTAATATAAGCTTATTCTTTTTCTGTCAACCTGAATCTCATCTACAAATCACCAAAAACATTGACCTTCTTGTTAATATGACCTGTCGCTGTCATCTAATTTCAGTTTCGTAATTATTTCTCATTTATTTGTCCTTGCATTTCATACATTTTTTTAATGCATAAAAGCCGTATTTTGTTGCATTCTTTACTTTATTTGCAACATCATGAACTGCACTGCATAATGAGTTTGATGACAACAACACAAATGCATGCAACACGCAGATTTAATTATGCGCATATATTCGCTAGTTGTCACTTTGACATACCTATGTGATCCATCTAAAGTAACTGCAAGAGTAGTTACTTTAGATTTCGTGATTGATTTGGACAGGAAGGAAATGAAATTTATGTGAAAACTGTTTTAGCAAACTAGCGACATATTGCCGACTGCTTTTTATCTGTTCAAAGTTTTGATATGGTCGAAGTGAATCCATCGTATATCGTTCGGGTCAATCTCCCCACGGTAATCTCGTTTGGCCATCATCCGGAGTTCGCGATATGCTGCATATAACTGCAATGTTCCCTTTTCATCTATATTTTTGAAAATAGTAATAAAATGAGGCGCAACTTTAGTGACTTGATTTGGATGTTAAATTTAAAGAGCAAAACGTTATTTTTAGATTTTTTTTTTTGGATAATCTAATGAATTTGTATCATTTCCTTCAAACCTTACCGCAAGATAAGCTTTGCAGAATTGAGGATTGTTCCATTGATATTCTTCATAATTCTTTTCTAGCTCATCTTTCAACAACTGCAATGTGGCTTCATATCGCAAAATGGATTCTGAAGGAGAAGAGAATTTCTTCCCGACTCTATAATTTTCAGAACTCTCTGTTCACTCTTTTATTTATATTTCAATAAACTATTACTTGTGGAGTGAAAGAGAAATGTTTACTGTAAAATTCATAGAGCTGAGGATCGATAATTTTTTTGAAAATAATATGAATGATGCAGCAAATCAACGCAATCATAACAACTGGACCAGGATATTTGAAAATCACATCCGATAATTTCCGGAACAAAGGATCGCACCATTTGGGAAATATTTGTACAGATGACTCAAAATCCATTTTGTAAAAAAAACTGCCCTCTGGAAGAATATATTACCCCACCATAGTTTGCTCAAAATTCAAAGAACCAATAGAAATCGCTGCAATTGTGATAAAAATCTGATATTTTTACTATAAAACAACTATATCTAAATGCTTACTTTATTTGCAAGATATTATTCAGACAGAGAAATGAAATTTAAGAGAAATGAAGTGGCGGACATTTTGCATATATGCTAATTCCACGTTTACAATTCATAATCTCAATGAACCTAAAATTTAGACCAGATGTGTGGATAAACCAAATTGCATAATGGTTGAGAATATGGAATATGCCGAATATATTAAAGTTTAATTAGAAATAATAGATGTATATTCCGAAGTTTTCGTCATCTATTTGAATATAATAGTTTCACTTCGATTTGATAGAACAATGTTGGACTATGGTTACAGACGCCTAATAATTAAGCTCTGTTATTTTCCAGAGATTTCACATAAATTGCTTCTCCTTTGGCTTACGTGATTGTGATTAATTTCAATTTCTCATACAAATGAGCACTTTTACTGGCAGTAATTGAAATACATTAAATTATAATAGTGACTTTTACATTTCATTAAATTATACAAATCTTGTATGCAAAGTAATACTACAATAACAGACACGAAGTTTAATTAAGAAAGGAAGATTTGTAAGAATCGATAGCACAGATTTAATTGGTGTTAACATTCATGCCTACTTATGTTTAATAAAATCTATCAGATAACTTTTCTATCCGTAAAGGAAACAGAGATTTTAATTAAAGAATAGATTCATGTTTTAAATTGAAATTTGCCTCTTTCATATCAATGTTTTCTTTAACAATAGCAAGACAAAAAATTGAGTTCGAATAAGAATTACAACAGAAATAAATGTTTTATGAGGAAATATTGCAATAGCAACAATAACAAAAACAGTGTCATAGGGTCACATGTGAATTTTATATTTAAAGTAGCCTTAACTGTTGCTAAATTTATGTTTAAATATAGCTGACTGTGATTAATTTCTAATGACAAATCTTAAGCAGTAAATTAAGCAATAAATAAGAGAATATTTTTTTTTTCCTTTTCGTTAAACAAATTATAATATATTGGTGGAAATCTACAGATTGCACAGCATAATTGAAAGAAAATTGAGAAAACAGCTGGAATTTTAAAAATGCAGAGATATAGAGGACAAGAAACGACAAATCTCCAATGATTTATCAAGGGTCATTGATTGATAGCCTCATACTCTCGAGAAAATTGTACATGTGTGTGGTAAATACAATATGCATGGTACAAAGGAAATCTGGAATAAGTAATCTACCAGAGAGATACTTGGATACTATCTGATTGATAAGAAAAAGCTACAAGAAAAAAGATTTATATTTGAGGCAAAACACACAAGCTCAGTTAATCTTTCAGACATAACAGTGAACTGAACAATGATTATAAAAGATGTATTTTTGAGGACATTTACCAAAAATGCTAGTTACAAGTCAAAAACCGAAGGCCTGAGTTACAGTAATTCTTTTTAAAAAGATACAATGTGCTTCATTAAGAATCGTAGTTTTAAAATTTTAACACTTCGCTAAAACTTAAATTTCTCTCATTCCTGCGTGATCTTTATGAACTAATGAATGAATAAATAAATAGTTTCTTCCAAACATTTACCGCATGCGCATTAATCCAAAATTGTTCGATGTTGAAGGTAACAAAATGGAATCTGATGATAACAAAGAATTCCAATTCCTTCGCCGTCCTACAAAAACAGCAGTAAAATTTCAAGTTCAGAAGAAAAAGTTTGGAAAATGAAGAGTGGTAAGATTAAAGGAGCCACTTTCTGTCTATCATTTCACTGAATAAAGCATTTTAGAATTTGCCTGGTGTCTTTTAAAGGTACAAAATGACTATGTCCACATTAATCAACTCTTTTCTTTCAAATTTTAATTAATATATCGTTGAAACTATTACTCTGATATTTGCGTTCATAATAGCTCGATGGAGTGCAAAGAGCGCAAGAAAATCGACAATTCGCTGCCATATACGCTTTTCGAGAGCCGTAACATTCACCATGTTGTGCCCAAAGATTACAATTTCGATTATTATCAATACAGCTGCGCACTGAAATAACGCAATTGACAGGATGCGCATCTCCTACAAACTTTTCTGCTTTAACCAATCTAAACTTCTTCATTTTTTCTTTCAAGTTTTTAGAGAAAAATGAAAGGAAATAACACTTTAAAAAATTAAATTATAATCTAACCCATACTAATATGATTTTCGTAAAATCTGTATGTTGAAGAAGATCAATTATCAGTTGACCTTCGTTAACTAAACATTAAAAAAATTTGATATTATTCATTATCTTAAAAATTCAAATAAGTCAAATGATTCCTTATTTCAGAACTTTAAGTTAATTAACTCGAAATAAACATGATGAACCGAATGCATATATAAAATATTCACCTTGATTAACAGCAGAAAAAAATGGATAACAAGTATTGCAAGTTTTAGGACACCGTTTCATCATGAAATTTCGATGCTTACTGTAGCATCCGACATTTCGAGCCCAATGCTCACAAAATGGCTCAAAGTCTCGACACTCTAAAATTTCATTTCTATTTAAAAACATAAGCTGAAGAGATAATGTACTTAAATGAAAATGTACTTCCATTCATTCTACTTCTAGCTAAACTTAAGTTATTCAATTCTAAATGTATTGCACTCAGTATTTTCAAGTTATAACGGACAAATCGGAGTAAATGTTTGATAATGGATGAAGAAAATAAAAGACACTTTTTTTTTTGAATTTTATCAAGTATTAATTTTTGAGATCAATTTCGTCGGATTCAAAAAAGGAATTACCATAATTATATAATTTGCCATTTCCATTTTGCTGATAGTTTTTATGCTTTTGCTGCACACCTATCTTGTTTTGCCATGATTTACGGGACTGTTGTGTTCTTAGTATCGGTGAAGGCAAGAAATTACCTTGCTGCGAATAACGCATGCCTGAGCAGCACGGAGCTGCAGTTTGACGAAATGTTAAGTTCTAATTTTCAGTAAGATAACAGGCCAACAAATACAAACATGATGAGACGATGAAGTAGAAAGCAATTGTTATGCAGAATATGCGCTCAAACTAAATTGCTACAAATTGGAAGGTGGTTCTGAAATTTCAGAGTAGCCGAAAAGATTTTTAATAAGCTTACGACAGAGGCCTTCTGAAGTACATTCTCCGCCACATCGACAATTAGAACATCGTGGCCCAAAGATATAAGGCCGTTTCCCAAATTGATTGCCACTGCAAAATTATGGCATACACAAATTTCATAAAAATATTTCATTAGCTTGTTTAATAAAGTTTCCAGTTTGACTATTAAACGAAATTCAATAATTAATTTACTAACATAAAATGTATGTACACTAAATCACCGTCCATTCATAACATGCACTGACATTAATAATTTTTATAATTAAGCAGCTTAAATAGGGATTGAATTACTAAAGGATAGCAGACATGTGATCAATAACTTACCCTTCACCATAATTACAGATAATAATATGTCCTTGATTTATACCTCTTCCATTTTTGATACCGTTGCAATGAACTGCAGCGCAACCCACAGCACATGTTTCACCCCAAACATACTGCAGAATTTCTTTAGAAATATTCCCGACATTCAAACATTTAAATAAAATTGCTATAAATTGATAAATTTTATAAAAGTAATCATTTTCCTAAATGTTAATTGTCTAATCGAACTTAGAGCATTTTATTCTGCAAAATGGCACCTCATAAGA